TCTAGTTTAAAATCTAAAATTCAATGAAAGAAACATCTATAGAACTAAGAAAGATTAGTCCTACATGATGGTATATCGCTAGATCTAGATCTATTAAATTACCAGAAATGTAGATTCCACAAAACAATGATTTCCTCGCTGTTAGTCTAAAAAAATAATAACGAATGCCAATTCCATTTCACAAAATTACACTTATATAAAAACACACAGTACAGTCACATGATTAGTAGATCTTGGCCTGCGTGAGGCAAAGAGGGCAGCTGACAAAACACACTTTCAAAGGCAAACAACACACTTTCAAGGCAGTTTTTGTGTTTCTTATGCCTAACAACTGATACTAAAATGAGATTGTGCGTACGTTTGACTAGATCTAGACGTTAGATTGAATTTAGGCGCCGATTTAGTGTCCATGTGCCAACTGCCCAAGGCTGTTGACAATGTAAACAAAGGAGCATTGCAGACCGGAAGTAACCCTGAGTACCCCTGGACAGTATGGCGGACATTACCGTGAAGAGGTCTATTTCATTGGACGAACATCTAGAGCTACCGACTTGGCTTGTTTTGAATGAGACGTAGGCGTCGGTTGCGAACCAATGCAGGCGGTTCTAGGAGTAGGCCACAAACGCACTCAAATTCTAGCAGACTGATGCACACACACTTGACTGAGCTGCAGGAATACGGGACCCGGTCAATAGGCGGATAATGCTCGGCGCGCATTCGCTGAGTCAGGGCCGGGCTGACTCGGAACTTGATGGAAGGTGGGGTGCCGAAATATGCTTGGAAGTCTCGGGTGTTCATCACTGCGGAATATTTAAAACAACTTGTAGGGGCCTTAGATGGTAAGGTGGATTACCCCAATTTTGATCAAAGTAACCCTGAAAATGAGTCTGAAGTCTGTCTTTTCGTGTCTTTTCGAATTCAAGTATATGACCCTGAATAGAGGGTAAATTTTTACTTTCACTCCCCCTCACAGTGCACTGCTTTGAGGGTCAAACTGCAGGTATCATTTGCTGCAGATTACACATACCACTAAAACTGTCTTAAATCAATTATTTTTCAAGAAAATTTCAACCCTAACTGCAACAGCATAACATCAAATTATAAGTTTAACGCAGTGCCTATGTTCGTGGCGCCATATATACGCAGACTACGTTCACGGCACCCTGAATCATCCACCAGAGGCACTGCTGAAACACTCTGGTCTCTCGAAGTTCAAAGTGAATGAGGAAACAACACAGGAATACTCTAGTGAAAATAATAATGCAGCGGTGGTCTGAATGCAACAGAGTTTTTGGAAGAGGAAGGCGGGCACAGCAAACAGCCGTGGTCGACAAGGCCTCGCTCGCTCAGCACGCAGAAAATGACTTCAATCCTCTCTTCCCGTGTACGGACCCGGCAACACTTGACAATTGAAAATAAAAGTCGTCCAAAGAAACAATGGAGAATGGAAAAAGGCCAAGGCGGGAAGAGGGGTATATATGAGGGAGTAAAAAAAAAAAGAAGCAAAAGTTTGAAAAGGGAAAAGGGTAGGGGTGAAGTGAGCAAGATCAATTTCTTAATTTGCAAACTGTTTTCAGGGCGCGGTGAACGTAGCCGCTGCATAAGTTAAAAGAGGACAGCATGCCCATCTGTAGCCCCCCCAGATTTTTTTTCTTACTTCAGGGGGGCAACCCCCGCATTGGTCCAAAGTGCGGAAATTATTAGACGCAATTAGGTCTAGTTCCATTAACACTTTGCCATCACAAGGCTCATATATAGTTAAAAACCCTTGCCATCAATGGCAAGGGCAGTTTGGGGAAAATCCAAAGAAACTGGGTGGTAAACATCGCAGGTCGGCGAGATGTGATGGCAGTGTTAAACCCTCAAATGTGTGTGTGCCTGGTAAAAAATGGTACCAAATGACGTATTTTGAAGAATTCCGGGGGTTTTTATTGCATTTTCATGTAAAGTGATCATTTCTGAACCATATGCTTTTTGAATTTTTAAAATATCTTCAGTAGTTTTTGAGATATATGGTGATTTTGTAAGGCAGGGTACGGAAACAAAGTTTTGAGAAAAACGGCTTTAAAGTTTCCTTTTAGTTTTTGCTTCAAATGATAGATCTTCGCTTCGAGACAACCTGACAACACATTTGCTACTCACAAACCAACTAAAAAAGCAGCTAAGATAAAAGAACAGCTTCAAAATGTTTATATTACGTCTTCAAAACAAAGTCGCCACCACCTTGAGCAAGAATTTTCAAGAAATGAAATCTAGGTTTGCGCAGGGAAGAAAATGTGCAATACAATTTGCTCTCCAAAAAAATTAAAGGATGTGGATGCGCAAAGCTTCCTCTTGTTTACACGTTCTGGGTATTCATGCACACTACTCACCATGAGAGAGGGGGAAGAATTACCTAAATTTTGGTATGCATTGTGATTGGGTCCACTTTATGAATGGACAAGAGAAACCATTTGCAGTGTGTACTCGGAATAACCAATTTTCTCACACATTATTTAAGATATATGCAACTTACCTCGTGTTATAAAATTTCTTTAAAAATGTATTTTTAAGTAAAACAAACTCAAGGCCTCGTATGTATTGATATATTAATGAATTAAGAATTCATGTGTAATAGAACTTCGTTTTTGTCAAAAATTATATTTTGACCTTTGAAGGTACCTTTCATAAGGCATGCTCACAAATATTAGGAGATGAAGTTGATATAATATATTTGTGTTCAGCGAATCAATATGTAGTAGAAAATTGACACATAGTAGTTAAATGTGAAACAGGAGGGAAAATAAAAGAGTACCGAATAGAGTTCTTGCTGTTTTCTTTTTGTCTTATAATAATACACAACATTTGCAACAGTAACAGTCTTCTTATGTAGATTCTAGTGTGAGCTTGTGTGAGAGATGGACAGAGCAGTTTTTGCTTTAAGTTTGATTTGTTTCTGTCAAATAATAGTGTCAAGTATATTTTAAAATATGTTTTGTTTGTTGTTGTTTTTTCAGTTTTGAATTTTTTTTTGGCATCCCCAATGGAAAAGAAGGTCTGGATGATATGTTTGAACACTTCCATGGTGATATGTGGAGACAAATGGAATCCCTTCATCGCCAAATGGAAGACATGATGAAAGGCTTTGGTACCATTGACTTTCCAACAGGTATTTCACTTTTCCAGAGAAAATGGCAATGGTCAATATAGTCAACAATATTCATACATAATTGATGATACAAGGTCAGATCAAAATTAGACAACCTTGAATATTCTTTTATTGTTTCAATAATTTAAGTGTGTTGTTTGCTGTTGTGAAAATTATGTTTTCACACGTAGAGGAATGAAATATTCAACTCAGTGTCTAGTGCTCTCGGGCAAGGAGTGCTCCCCCTTTTAAGTAAAAAAAGCACTTGAATGGCTATGCTCTGATCAAGAAATGAGTGAATCTTTTCCTTCTTTCCCACTTTTTTTTTCTTTATCCACTCTGACTCTGTTATAATGCACTCCTCCATTTGAAAACATTTTTTTGTTTTGTATAACAGATTTTAGATTATTGATTTTGTCTCATAAATTATTTTTGATTCCACATATGTAACTTTGTTGTTTTTTTAAGGTCCAGTTGTTGTTTTTATATATAGAAATCGCTGCTTTATAAAATTTTACCACAGTTTTTAGTTTTTGTCTATCATTTTTATTTCTTCAAAACAGAACCGGACCGTCCGTCTCAGCCAAGCATTGGGGATTCTGATCAGTCTGACGAGAAGCCAAAGAACAAAGGCAACCCCTTCGTTTGGTTTCATACGCCTTCTCCCTTCTTCGGACGAGGTCCTAACCCAAACCAGAGCCCAAGAGATTTTATGCTAAAAGATGGTAAAGGTGAAGAAGACCAACCAACTGTACCAGCTCATCCAGAACCAAGAGTGAGTTGTATGTAGAGATAAAGGCATTGTTAATAATTTTTCTGAAAGCAAGATTTTTTTTTTCTTATATTAAGTTATATTAGATGAAAAATATTTAACTTTTTCTGTTGGTCAATATTACACAGTTTGATACATGATGTAAAAAAAGGTTGGATATTTTCATTACCTGTTGTAGGTCTTTGACATATCATTTGTACATTCTGAACTGCACTTCTCTATTTTTTTCCCAGTCTTCTGTTGACTCAGCTGAGTCTTGTGATGCTAATAATATACAACGGGCAAAAGAGCTTAGAAATGTTTTCATTCAATATTTGGAGGTGAGGATGGATCTGAAATGCTGCGTACTGATTGTTCACACATCCTCTTATTCAGCTAACGCATTTTCTTCCTTTTCAGAGGAGAACAATATTCAGTTTGCCTTCATGGAGAAAACCAGAGCCAGAAAAGAAACAAGACACAGGTCAGTTTGTTTTATGATTCTTAACCATTTAAACTGTTGTCCACTGAGTTAACAGGACTTGTGTGCTTGAAGTATTTTGAATCTACTGAAAATGTTTAACCGCTGAACAGTAAAGCATGCATTCAGAGAACTAGAGGAAAAAGATAGTGTAAACAGCATAAGCTCTGGTGTGTGCTTGAATCCACAGGGTCCAGTGTGTTTGGTGGTTTTATTAGATGGTCATGCACTTTTTTCTCAAGGTAGGCAAAGCATTTGTGAGAAAGGACAGTGGGAAATGATTATCTGTGTGTTTAACAGTTTTGTGATGAATGTCAGATTGACCAGAACTTTCTTTGCAAGATCTCTATCATATGTCATGTGAATGGGCTTTTCCATACAAATTTTATTGATTTTATACAAATACAATATATACCTTTGTTTTTTGCACACATTCTATTAGCTTTGAACATGTTTTAGAATTATCTTACGTTGGTTAAAAACAAGGCTTTCTAGCGCCAGGCGTAATAATCTCTCAAATGCTGTGTCTCCTTTGCCTTCCAGATCTTGATGGCAAACTAAGTGAGGAACAAATTCTGTCTCTAGTCCAAAAGCCTCAGTCAGAGCTACGTAGGGTGGAACAACCGCCTCAGCAGCGTCGGCCACATTTTTTCTCCTCTGGAAGCTCTGTAACCTTCACCACAGTTCAGGGAGCTGATGGGGTAAGTCTCTTTGGTACCCCTGTGTCTTTTGTGGTAAGGCAGGAATAAATCCTATAGCATTCAAATATAGTGTTGAGACCTGTTTTTTGTATGTCTTTTTATTGTCTGTTTTTTTTTTTTAATCTGTGTGTTCTGGTGTGTGTGTGTGTGGGAAGGAGGGGGGCTGATTTCATAAAGACATCTTGACATTTTGATATTCTCGTTTCAAATGGTAGGGGCTGTGAAAATAACATTATATTATAAATTTCAGATTTTATTTCATGTGATTCCCAGCGAAGAGTATACGCTGTCACAGGCTTTCCCAGGATCAGTACTTTTTTCCCATCATGTTCTAAAGTCTGCAAATATACTTAAATAACCTTACTCTAATAAACATAGTCTAGTACCAAACGGATACATTGTACCAAATGTTTACTGTATTTAATGCTGTTCTGCTTTCAGAAAGTGGAGCAGAAGAAAGTTGTGAGAGACTCCAGTGGCCATGAGGAAACTACAGTAACGAGATCGCTAGGCAACCAATCTCACACGGTCAAAACTGTCACTGAGGGAGATGGACGGCAAGAGAAACATGAAACATTTCAGAACATGGATGAGAGTAAGAAAACTACCGATGCATATATATCTTTGTGTGACTTTGTTTTATAATTATTGTTTTGCGTGTCCAAATAGATATAACAATTAAGTTTCTACATTTTTAAAGTAGAACTCTGATGAGTGCAGCTACTAGCATGTTGTCTTTTCCAGTGTCTTTGACATGTTAGTCAAGTATTGAGTGTTTTTGTTTCACAGCTTGTTCACTTCTATAGCCTTCGGCTAAATGTTGACCATTAATTTGAGTGAAGTAATTTCTTTGAACCATGGGGAAGTATCTTACACTTACATGACCTCCTGTGCATTGTATGGAGAGGTATAGGTCGTGCACACTGAAACATGTACTTACAAGGTAAGGGTTGAATTTTACCAAGTATATCCTGCTGCATGATCAAGATGATTCTGAATCAGCATAATTCAAAAAGCAGATTAGTTTGCAATGTTGTACAACTGCATTCCCCCCCCCCCCCCCCCCCAACCAATCTCTAAGTTGGTTCATAGGTTCAGAATGGGCACTGAATTAATTGCATGGTTATTCCTCTTTGTCAGTGTATGTTGGCCTGCTTGATCATGCAAAGAAACTGAAAACCCTGCTATGATATAAATAGTATTTTGTTTATGTCATGTCTACTCTTGTTCACTTGCCCATCTTTTATTCTAACGACATTGGATTTTATAAATCAATTAAACAAGAAAGCATTCCTTACAAAGTCACAAAATTACAGTCATATACTGAAGTTTTGAGATTTCATGAATATATCAGCCTTATTATTTAGTTCTTCCAAAACTAAAGAGGTTTTAATATTAAGTATCAAAGACATCATGGATAAGCTGACTCCTAGCTCTTTCTTTCACTTGCTGTCTTAAAAGGAAGTATGGTAGTCTTTGTGTCTGTGATATAGAAAACATATCTTAAAATCTTAGGTTTGTTTAGTTTTTAACCAGTTTTGGAGTAAATGTGTGAATGCTTTAATCAAAATATATACAGAATCGACATCAATGACATCAGATACAAAGATCAGACAGGAAATTATCTCAAAATTATAATTCTGTGAAGGGGATGTTTCTCATGATTAAAAGTCTTAGAATTTTTCTAAACACGCAATACTGGGCAAGCAAAAATTGAACTATGTAGATGTCAAGAAAGCACACAAATTGGTCTGTTATCAGAATGTATGACGGATGCCAGTGACACACAGAATAGGTTAATTCTTTATCTCCGGCAAGCCGCTCCCAGCAGCCCGCGGTCATAACCCAGTGCCGATGAGCCACGTCACGGGGGCATTCCTTTACAACGACATTGACATCAAATTACTTTTCGTCAATTGCTGAAAACAGGTCTCTTTTTTCAGGAGTTCATTCACTAGATCTAGATGAAGAACTACCAAATAGGTTCTATTTTTTTTTTTTTTTGGATTGAATGACCCATTTAGTGACATTTGTGACTTTTTAATTTTAGTACCAAAGAAGAGACCCATCATAGTGGGTTTACCCCCCCCCCCCCCCCCCCAAGGAGAAAAAGAGTTAATTTCCTTTAGGGCACACTTGTTTCCAGCCACATCTGAATAAGTCTTTTGAATACTTATTTATCTATTTTCAGAGGATATGGGACAGTTTGAAGAACAGTGGAGCCAGCCATCTCAGCGACCTACAAGTCCAGCAGATTCTCTCATTGCCCCTACACCAGTGCCAAGAATAGATTCCAGAGACCAAGATCTTTTCTCTCAGTTCTTTGGCTGGAGGGACAAATAGACATACTTTTAAACACGCACACACGCACACACACACACACACACACACACACACACACACACACTGACACACCACACACATAGACACACACACACACTCACATTTCTTGGCTCTTTGTCACACATGCATACACACACATGATATCTATCTAGCACACAAACACAAAAACACCTCACATACGTTAGTGTCCATATCACTCCTCAAAAAACCATTTTGTTGCTGCACACTACACATGTGTTCACCTTGCCTGAAATTGACCCATGTCTTTTTTTAATACTGCAAACTATTGGTTTTGGGAAAGGGAGAGGGGGTAAATTTTACTTTTTCTTCTGTTCTGCTTGATTTTTTTTTCTTTGAAAGGTCTAATGTATTTTGTTTATACAGGAATACAGGAAATGGCTGATTCGATTTTCTCAAATCTGCTCTTGATAAAGATGTTTTACGTTATTAAATTGCTTCTTTAATCTTTGTGGATCAGCTGTTGCACATTTTTGTTTTATTTCTAGTTGATTAATGAAAGGATTTGGGTTCGGAGTTCAATTGCCATAAACTGTGTTACTCATCCTTTCTGTAAGATTTCTTCTGAGCTCAGTATTCAGAGGGTCTGGGCAAGTGCTCTTGCTTGTACAATAAAGCAATAAAGTTTATATGTTGTCTGTGTCTCCTGGGGCACTGAATTCAAACACAAAGACTGTGATTTTGGTTGGCTTATTTAATCAATGTGTATTATGATGTAAAATAAATGTGCTACGCCACTGCAAGGAAAATACCAGTGACTTTCTCAGATCAATTTTATTTCTGGTAGAGCTGTTGTGTGTTTATTTAAAGTTTAAAGATAAAAGAAATCAAACTTTTATCATTGTCCTTCCTCCTCTCTCTCTCTCTCTCGCTCTCTCTCTCCCTCTCTCTCTCTCTCTCTCTCTTTCTCTCTCTCTCTCTCCGTGTGTTTGTATGTCTGTCAGTTGTTGTATCTTTCTTTCTGTAACTATTTTTCCCCTGTTCATTTCTGTGTTTTTCTGTGTTGACCATTTTTTTTCCTGTTCTATTTTCATTTTTTTCTCTTCTTTGAAACGATTAATATCTGTGAAACTACTGTTTTGTCAGACAGTATTTTGTTCCCCTGCGCACCAAGATTCGACTCTTTAACTTCAATGTCAAGTCTTCTCCTCTAAGGCTGCAAAACTTGGAAGACAACAAAGACTTTACTCAATAACGTTCAGACTTTCATCAGCAGATTTATGAGAAGTATTCTAAGAATTAAATGGCAGGATAGAATAAGAAATGAAGAGCTGTGGGAAAGAACAGAACAAAAGGATGTAGAAGTAGAAATAGGAATAAAAAAGTGGCGATGGATGGGATACACCTTAAGAAAGCCTAGCGGAAACATTACAAGACGGTCATTGCAGTGGATCTCACAGAGAGCGCGAGGCAGGGATAGGCCACGGGAAACATGGGAGGAGATGTGTGGAAAGGGGCATAGAGAGAGATGAAGCTCACTTGGAACGAGCTTGGAAGGATGGCCCAAGACAGAGATAAATGGAAGGAGCTTGTATGCGGCCTATACGCTGCCCGGGGTGAAAGGCATTGATGATGATTTTGTTTCCGCATCATATTGAACGGGCTGGAAAAGTCACGGAGACTGTTATATCTTTCATGTCGGGTTAATATTTAATGTAAATGTGAGATTGATGATTTTCAGTCTAAGAACTTCTACCTTTGCCCATTAGCTGCGATTGTCACCATGATTGATGTAGAAATTTTATGTTGTAATTTGTTCACTTAAATTTTTGGACAGCACTCATAGTTTTCTATGTAACCATGAATTTGGCAGCTCTCTGGCTTGAATGATGAGACTTTTTCTTCCACCCTATCTTATTTCAGGAAGCTGTCTTTTTTTCTTTGATCACATTACTGATGGGTTTTATTGATACAGGTCTACAAACAGTGCTCCATCTACGCACCTCTCTCTTTTATCACTGTCTCATTATTTGTAACAACTTTATTGGGCCACGAGTGGACTGTCTCATTTGATCTTTTGGGCTTGGTCTGGAGTGGTTTTGACGTTTCTGCCGACATGTAATAGTACCATTCCGTAAACTGAGATGTTTAATGTGTCTTTAGCCTGATGTTTCTCTTGGCTCAGCGATCTCAGTAAAATACATATATAAATCAAAGTATAAAAAGAGGTAGGACAAAAGTCTTTTTCAGAACTACATGCAGTAAGTTTGAATTGCATTTTGCGATGTTTGGCAGGCTGAACACTACTACTTAAGAATAAAAACTGAAAACGTTTAGTGTTGTAAGCGTTACCTGTTGACGACAAAAGGTTAAGACACAGCTTTCTGCATTAAAAGATTTCAAGAAATTACTGTTTAATCTTCTTGTGCTCCCGAACTAAAAGACACAAGTTGACCCAACAAAGTACAGATCATCAATCATTTTCGTCTGACTGACTACAGCCTTTAATTTTCGGCTTCACCACATCATCACATGCATCAAAATGTTGACAAACACTTCATAAATGTTATACTAGGGCCTGTTGAGATAGAACTGTGCCTTCTATGAGGTATCATCTTTACTCTGTTCAAACGAATTGTTGAGATGATTGTTTTGTATCCATGGACTCCACTTATGAACGAAAGGATAACAACAGAGTACAGCTTTATTTAATTGCATATTGGATAATTTACAAATGGTCAATTAAGCTCACAATGCATTCTATATTTTTAGGGTCTCGTACCTTGACTGACCCTAGAGCTCAAGGGGCAAAACTTGCTTTCATTCCATATTGTGCCATGCATACAACGCAATGTACATGTTCGAGACACCTTAGTTTTACACGTAGTTGACAATTACATGTATTTACAAGGTACATGTAAGGATTTTATGCATACACGTGAAAATAGTTTCAGTCTACTCCGGGATGATTCTTGTATTACATGACATCTGTGACTACCCACACAGCGTAAATTGCTCTGAAAGTGAACTAATACCAAGCAAAAGAACATCCAGTATTGTTATCACGAAAAACAGCAGTAATGAGGCATACGGGCTGTGTAACTTCAGCATGAATGTCAATCAATGAAATCTATAATTCGTAGGGAGATCAGCATTGTATGAGGATATTTGACATTTTTATCGTAATCTGGAGATACTGGATTTCACTTCAGTAAACCCCAAGAGTCTTTGTTGTTTTCAGCGAGTTTCTATTGCTTTCTGAAACTTGTCTGACTCAGTTCTGTCACTGGGGGTCGTTTCAAAAGCTGTGTCGAATTGCGCTGATGGGAGCGTTAAAAATAACCATAATTTAGCCAGACCTAACAAATCAAAACTTTTCATGTGCAAAGCTTTTTAGTTAGAAAAACTTAAGGTATCGGTATGAGCGACAACGAAGACGAATCGTCTTTCGAAATAAGACTTTCTGACGAACATGCTCCGGTCTCCCTAATCTGCTGAATTATGTCCCATAAATTCAGCTTCCCCCTTTCCCTTAACCTTTTTCACTGGCCTAGTCCAACCTCGTCTAACTACACTTTAAAACTGGAAAACATTTCTAACGCCAATGATCAAATTAGGAAACACGGTAACTGTGGGTTCGCCTAGTATTTTATGATCTATGCGCCGTAAGTGCTCTACCCAGCTCAGCTACTTGTCATGAAGTGGCAGTTTTAAAGGCTCAATGAGTAGAATCAGCCTGCGTTTTGAAAGGCGAAAAGGAAAGCTCATACCAAATGCATTAGAGACAAGTATGGTAGCATCGTTTTATATTTGAAATAAAAATTGTATATTGTTACAGGTCGTAACGTGATGGCCTGAATCATTTTGTTCCTTACGTCAATACAAACCAGTTGCTCCATATTTTTATTGTGCACATTTTTTTGTCCCTTGGTCATTCTAGCTTGAGCGTTCTCCCAAAGATTGTCAAAACAGCTAATAATGGAACGAAACGTGTTTTTAAGACCTTACTAGGCTTACCACTGACGTGATTATGTACAGAAAAACAATTAGCTTAGAAACTGCCCGTCCGAACTCTCAGTTCTTCTAAATTCCGTTGTTTCAATTGGAAGGATGTCTGCTGTGTGTGCAATACGAATCAGAGTCCTCCCAGTTTTAGTCCGTTGCTTCGTTCTTTGAAAATGCTGACATTAACAAGAGTCTCTCGTTATTCCCAAAACTGTTGGACTTTCTTGTAAAGGCCACTCTAGAATCCATGGAAAGTATAATAACACTTCATGGGAAAACTTTATAGAGCTACCCACTTTTTACATTCCAAAATCTGAATTAAAATCCGTTTTGTTATAATTGAAAAATCCGTTTTGTTATAATTCAAAGGTCACACATAAAATAAATTAAATTTTGATCTTCTTCTTCTTTTTTTTCTTCTTCTTCTAATGATCACCATCACCATTCCTTTCTTTTCTTTCTCAAAAGCCAATCTGAAAGGCAACGCTTAGGTTTCCCTCTATCAAGATCAATACAATTTGTTTAATAAGAAAGACGGGGTTTATAGTGCAACATTAGCCTAGTATAGAGCTAACTTATCTAACTGTACTGAAGGTCAATTCTTCTAGATGTGCAACAGCCTAATATTTCTCAGCAGAAAGTATCGATCACAGACAGCCTCCGGGCGAACTCGGAGCTAATTTGTACGATGTCACAATTACGTTTTCCGAAAGGTTACTGTAGGTGCAATTATGTCTCTCGTGGACAAACGTAGTTTTCTAAAAAAAACAAAAACAATAAATGTTGTCATGTTGAGTGTAAACACAAAAATTAAAAAGGTTAATACTAATTCGTTTCAGGACAGTCAGGGAATAGGGATTGTCAATGAAGAGTTTATGGCCTTAAAACGTTATTTTTTAGCCCTTGGGTTTCCAACAGATAGATTATTTTTCGATGTTTGCATTAATTAGGGTCTAAGAGCTGGTTTATAACACTTCTTACTCGCCGGTTTGGGCCGGGGGTGGGGTGGGGGGGGGTATTCAGATTAGACAACGATTTTCAATTAACGTACCTGAAATGCATGATAAATCTGACTAATCAAAATATTTTTTTAACTCGGTTTATATCGAGGCAGAAACAAAACA